TAGCATGAATCGAGCATTTTTCAAATTCAGGAAATAACAAAAACTCCCTGTAAAAACTGCTCTTCTTAAATCAATATCTTTTTAGCTAATGTATTGAAAAAATCAAAGCATTATAAAAGTATCTAACAAATTTTTGCCAAATAAAAGAAAAATTAATTTGCATAGTACAACAGTTTTTGTAGTTGCTAGATTTATTTAATTTTTTGTTTGTATTTCATTTCACGTGTTTTATTTGTGGAAATATTGAAAAACAATTATGTTAGTACAGTAGAATAAATTGGTTTTCAATTACATATAAATTTGAATTTTGTAAAATATTTGTCTGCATTATTTAATTTAATTTAATTTATATTAGCTAGCCACAATGAAAGATAGTTTTCAACTGAAAAATTCGAAACATTGTTTGAAATATTCTGGCTGAAAGTTATGGCATAAAATGTTTTTAATGTCATCTTTCATAATTTTTTTATCATTTATTGCCCAATATTCCTTCACATTTCCTAGTTTTGTTCTCTGAAAACGCTACATTTTCCAAATTACCTGGCGGTAAGCTCGTTAAAATTACACTCGTTGCAGTTTCAGCAAATTTAATAACTTTCCACTTGCATGACACTTATTACTGTGAAAATTTTGATGTTGGGGAAAAATACACTACATGTTTCCAGTTTTCAGGCGTAAATCGTCTCTGAATTTAAAATTTATCGCACAATGGAGAATTTGTCTTTTCAGCCAGACTGAAATAATGTACCAAATACGCCTCTATGAGATTCTCAGATCACCATTTGTTACACGGCGTCGATTGAACGGTGTGCTTCCAGAAAACTATTTGTTCTGAACGAAGACGATACCCACACCTCTGCTCTAGATGGCGTGTCAGCTTATGAAATATTGCTAACTGCCTTCGAGCCCTTATTGATTGTTTGACAGCTGATATYTACCTTAAACGAGGTCTCAGATTTTATCTTTGGGTAGTTGTTGKGCTGTAAAATAGGTTTTYTCTGACTGACATAAACAGACATTGYATTAAAATAAATACAAAAGTTTTCTTGGGCCATGAGTGAAGTACCCGGATCCAAGATAAATATAAGCGTTCCAGTGAGATAAATTGCTCATAAAATGATCATTTATTCAGGACGTGCCTGTACATAAATTGCCGGGAAGCTGAAATGGAATACATAACTTTGGCCCGTAACCATAATTAGGTGTCTGAAGTCGGCACAATGTTTCAGTGTGCTTTTTTCAGCTGCGCATCTTGATTAGAGTAGTTTAATCAAGCGGCCACCCTTGTTTGCATTCGCAGGAGTACATTCGTCAAAGCAGGGAGCAGCAACTCAACGAGTTGGACAAACAAGAGCCGTCGGAAAAGAAACTGGCCAAATCGGTATCCAGGTCGCGTTCCAACAGCTCGCCCTCGATGAATTCGGGCCACTTTGACGCGGCCAACGCCGCCACCACCCCCTGCTACGTACCCGGAGGCGAGCTTTTGCCCATCCTCGTACGCAACGAGCGCAGCATGAGTCCGCCCAACGGCGATGCTTATCACACCAACATATACACGGCAAGTGGTTTTACTAGCTATGTTGCTTCGAAAATCGAAATTTTTGGCAATTTGCAAACAACTTAAATTCCGGAATCCCGGAGTTGCAGCACGCAGTCAATTTATTAACGACATTGAATAAAATACTTTTGAGACAGTTTGAAAAAAATGTCAAAACAAACTATTGCTTTTATCCGCAAACGTCATAAAAGTGACCACTTTTATGACTAAATGTCACAAGTAAAAGTTTTACTTTCCGACATAGAGTAAAAATTTTATTTTTCTCAGCTGAGTTATTACAATATGTATATAATATATTATTACAAAAAATATATATTGTACAGGGTGCTGCATTTTGGATGTCCGAATAGGGAATCTCCGAAACTAAGAGGTTTAGCCAAAAACGAGTGATACATTCTGGGGCTCATTTTTTGAGAAAATAATATTGGTTAAAACCGCATCCCGCTATCGTCTTTTGTTTTAAAAAAAATTAAGTTTTAAAAATTATATCTTCGTTATTATAGAAGATACGGATTTGAAAAAAAGACATTATACAGGCACTTTTTTACGAGGAATTTAATAATGTAGTTAACAATTCTTTTCAAGTGTTAGTTTAGCCGTAATGAGATAAACTTGTATTTTTTTAAATGGAAATCATAGGCGGCTATGGCAATTTTGAAAAGCTTATTTTTTTCTGATCTAAAAAATATATATTTGTAACAAAATATTTTTTTATAACTATACTTAAAAAGTGAAATACATATTTTGTGTGATAACAGTTGGCCATGGAAAAACTATTTCACTCCAAATGTGTAAATAATAATCAATAAGAGTTTTGTGAACTGTAAAATAGATGAAAAAATAGATAAAATTATAAAGATTTAAAAGATACAATACGGTAGAAGCATTGAACAAATATCTGAGCGCCTCAGAACAAAATTATTACATATTTCTAAAAAATCAAAAAATTGGAAAAACAAATGTGTCAACAGTCAACACAATTACAAAAAACATTTTTTTGATGATCTAATGGAGGTAGGAAAACGTTCCACTTAGACGGAATTTGGGTATTTGAATAGCCATATCGTCATTTTTGTGTCATATAAAATTATATAATATTATTGAATTATTATATATAATATTTTATTGAAGAATTAAAGCGGCTTTTTTTACAACACTCTATGTATCACTAGAAGTTGCAATGGTAATGTTAGCTTGTTTAAAAACAAAGAAGAAATGTTATTAGTCGCCAATAAGTTGATTTACAATTTATTTTGCATCTTTTTCATCACTTAGTACTTAGAAAACTCTTTCATTAGTGACACTGGTTGAATATAATTTAGTTTAAATCCTTTTAGTTGAAGATGCAACATTTTTTCATGGCCAACTGCGAACAAAAATCAAAGATAATTTTTTGCTAAAAATGTATTATAATAATTTGTTACAAATATATATTTTTTAGATAAGAGAAAAACAAGCTTTTTAAAAATGACATAGCCATCTATGATTCCCATTTAAAAAAATACAAGTTTATTTTATTACGTCTAAACAAACAACTGAAAAAAATTGTTAACTACATTATTAAATTCTACGTAAAAAAGTGCCTGTATAACGTCTTTATTTCAAATCTCTATCTTCTATAATAACGAAGATGTGAATTTTTTTAGATTTCGCTAAAATGTTAATTTTTGTCTATAAGTCGAAAACAAAAGACGTTAGCGAGATGCGGTTTTAATCAATATTATTTTCTCAAAAAATGAGCCCCAGAATGTTATACTCGTTTTTGGCTAAACCTCTTAGTTTCGGAGATTCCTTATTCGGACATCCAAAATGCAGCACCCTGTACAGGGTTATTATTTTAGGGCCTATTTTAGAAACTTTCTAACTTCTAATGCAGATAGAAATTTGAAATTTTGTACACAACCCAAATCTCAGTTCAGCTAAATTATTTTAATTATTAAATATAATATATATAATATATAAATTATTATAATAGCTGAACTTCCGGAACTACGAGAAGTTGATTAACTATGAAAATAAAAAACATGTTTTTCGTGATTATTTCAAAAACTGTAAGAGATGGGTATAGGACATCATTTTCAAAAAATCATACTAGCCTTACAATTTGACAGTTGACAATTTTGAAAATTTTAGAAAACTCCTCGAATCTTCGGTTATCAAATGCAAAAAAAATATTCATCACTTATCGCAAAGGGTTCAAAAAATTGACATATATCAAACACTATGACAGATAGTAGTAACAACTATGTATATTTTACTCAGTTTGAAAAGGAGAATTCAAAAATGCAATAAAAATAAGTGGTTACCATTTAAAATTTCAAAATTGGCGACAATTTCGCGTAGTTCCATTTTGAAAATAATTTAATTGAACTTAGACTGGTCGATTTGGGTTGTGTACAGAATTTCAAATTCCTATGTGCATTAGAAGTTAAAAAATTTCTAATGTAGGCCCTGAAAGAATCACCCTGTGTACAAAATAAACGTTCAGCTTCGCCACATAAACTATAACATTTACTCCAAATGACATGATATACTATTTACAAAATTGAGGTTTTTAGACATTTCGTCGTAAGAAAATCGTAATCGTAGAAGTTCAAAAATCAAATTTTATGTTTATTTCAATCAAATCACACATACTCGTATTTAAAAAGAATCAATAGATTATGAAAAAAAAGCGTGTTTTTTTTGAGATGTCTGTGGTATTTAATGGCAGCCCGGCAACTACAGACCAAGCAAATTAATTAATTTTTTATTTCTGTTTATTTATTATTAAAAAATAAGCCGTATTGCTAAATTTATTAATTAAGTATTAGTCATGTATCAATACAAACAAAACAAAAAGCAAATTAAATAACTTGGCTTTCAAACATTTTGTTTTTTCAATATTTTTACCATGTTTTGTCATTAAAATTGAATTTTGTTCACAAATTACTCGAATGCGATTAAAGTATAAATTTGTTTAAAACGAGGATTTTTTTGATTATACGTATAAACGYCACTTTTACTCTTAGGAATAAAAGTTTTTTAATGCCACTGGAGTAAAAGTGAATCTTTAACACAATATGCCACTTCTTTGACGTTTAACGAAAATGCATGTTCTGCAACTAATAAAATACTCATAAAAAACGGATGTTTTTCTCTTAAAACTCAATTTTCAAACTGTGATAAATTCTGGAATTCCGGTGTTGTAATTTAAGAAGTTAATTTTTCAAATATACTGTTCCACAAAAATTAAGGCAATGTGCTATAAATAATTAAATTAATAAATTATTAAAAAAAAATTATCAATTTAAAGTAAGATAAAGATATCTTTTTACTTTTTTGTTTAGAAGAATAAAATTTGTTTGTGGTAAAAATAATGCGACTTTCTTAATTTTATGGAGCAGTTTAAAGTTTACAAAAAAGTGAGCCTGAACACAATTTGAGACAATTTTAAGACAATTTGAGAAAAAGTGTTGAACTGAGCTTTTTAGACGTTAATAAATCGCAACAATATCCTAACTGTAATTTAATAAGAGCTTAAAAAATATGTATAAGTAGATACTGAAAAATTGGATTATTTATATGTTTCTTATTTCATTTCAGTTCATATTTACATATTCAAAGAGAATAAATAAGTATAGAATTTTTCATTCAAAAATAATTTTTATGTTCTCCAGCTCATAAAATATTTGATTTTTGAAATGTCGATTTAAATACAGTTTTTCTGCTAATGTCACAAAAGTGACTATTTTTAGGCCTAAATGTCACAAGTTTTTTTCTCACTACTTTCGGGAAAATAAACGTTCCGTTTTGCCACATAAACTATCACTTTTACACCTAATGACTTTCAAAAGCAATAATCGAAAAATGCATAAAATAATCTCAAGACTGAAAAAAGTGAGTATTTTAAAAATTGATTTTTCTCATAACTGAGATTTTAGACGTTAGATCAGAGAAAAAATGTTTTTTTGAGCTCAAAAAAAACACATTTGGAAACTTAAAAACTGTTCTTTCTTTACATTCAGTTCATACAAATTTAAAATCTGAATTTACCATTCATTCGTTTAAAGACAGTTTTTTGTACTTTTAAGACTTTGACAACCTAAACATGCATAAAATAATCGAGAAATACATTTAAAAAAATCAGGATTCTTTTTTCGGTGACATTTCCAGATTACGCACAATGACAAATGTCAGTTTGAGTTGAATTTTCCAACGCTTTCATGAATAACACTGCCACGTGTCGCAAAATTCCCTTTTAATAATTTTCTTTTTTTTAAGTGCAGAATAAAAAATAGTATAAAACACTTGTTAGAAAAAGTCACTCATGCAATTGTTTGTTCTTGCCTTTTGCAACTCGTATAGTCTAATATAATACACTATTACTTTCTTAAAACTGCAAAATACCAAAAATGCATGAAATAATCTTGAAATATGTTTTGGAGAAAAGTGTAAAAAATAAAAATTGTTATACTCCAATTCATTATTTATTTAGTGGTTTCTTGTAAACTTAAAATTTGGTTCAATAATGACTAGTAGTTATGAAGTATTTTTTCCTTTTGAAATATTTCATGTTGTTTTTCTTAATTTTTTAATAGTATATTAAAGAACAAGTTTTATAAGGGTTGATTTGGCGCACGAATTCCAAGTTCTATGGGATGAGTGCGCCAATGCCATTATAAAACGAGTATTTTATGCTATTTTTTCTAATTTGCGCCCCCTTTTTTCTTATTTTAATTAAAAAATATATATTTTTGTCGCCTAGAGAATTTTGTGTTAGTTGGTATCGGTTGGTAACATTCGGCGCCCACCTGTCATTTCTACCGTCTGTCATTAAAAATAAAATTTACAAATTATTAGTTATTAGTGTTACAACATAATAATATTAAATAAAATATGAGAAACAGAATTTAGTTTGCATTCCGCCCGAAATTCGCGAAATTGCCGAAGCAACATTGCAAAATTTGTTACCTGACAAGTCAGAAGCGGCATCCAAAAACTAAATAACCCTAAATTCATTAAACTACAGTGTGCTTTTATAGATAGCCATAAACGACTCCTACTGGAGACGTTAATAAACATATTATAAACGCAAATTAGAAAAAAACATATTTAAAAATGTTAAAACATATCACTTACACAAGCCGATGATATAAAAATTGTCGAAAATGTCAATATTGATTTTTATAGTTTTTCAGGTGCTAAATATTGAAAAAAAAAAGAAAAAAAGACAATTTCGACATTCAGTAGAAAAGTACAGTAATAGTATATTTTGTTCTTAGAAATAAAAGTAAAAGTTTATGGGGCGAAGCTAAACGTTTATAAATAATTCAGGTGAGCCACATAAACTATTTTATCCACAAACAAATTCATTTCGAGAGTAAAGAGCAACACTATAATTAGCAAGTAAATGAATTTAACTATAGTGCATGACTAGCGCAGATAGTAGTGCAATGCTGATAAAAGTAAAAACGTTTAGATTTTAGCTTTTTGCTTGAAAAGTAAAACTTTTACTTGTTTCATTTAGTCATAAAAAGGTCACTTTTACGGCGTTTACGGATAAAATATTTTTTTTATAACAATACATACATACTTTTGGTTTATTAAATAATAATTTTAGGTGTGTTAACACTTCCTCAACAAGTTTACAAATTGAAAATCGGAAAAAGCACAAAGACTTGTAGATTTTTTGTATCGGAAGTTTTCTTGAGTCTCATAAAATTGCATTTTGTGTCATTTTTAGGCCTAAATGTCACAAGTTTTTTTCTCACTACTTTCGGGAAAATAAACGTTCCGCTTTGCCACATAAACTATCACTTTTACTCCTAATGACTTTCAAAAGTAGTAAACGAAAAATGCATAAAATAATCTCAAGACTGAAAAAAGTGAGTATTTTAAAAATAGATTTTTCTCATAACTGAGCTTTTAGACGTTAGATCACAACGTTTACGGATAAAATATTTTTTTTATAACAATACTTACATACTTTTGGTTTATTAAATAATTATTTTAGGTGTGTTAACACTTCCTCAACAAGTTTACAAATTGAAAATCGGAAAAAGCACAAAGACTTGTAGATTTTTTGTATCGGAAGTTTTCTTGAGTCTCATAAAATTGCATTTTGTGTCATTGTTTGTGTTCCAGGTGGACAACGAGCCGCTGCCCGAGATGTGCGACAGCGCGTGCCAAACCCGCGAGAGCCTCTTCACGACGCAGGGCTACAGCTCGGGCAACAGCACGCCGAACCACAGCGTCCATACCAACTCGCCGCCGGCGCCGTTCAGCACCTTCGGCTACAAGAAGGACGCCAAGTTCAAGGCCGAGGCCAAGATCGAAGTGGCGTCGAAGAGGTCCAGCAAGTTCGAGGACAAGCGACGCCCCTACAGCGTCCAAACGACCAAATCGGCCCCCGACGTCATCGTCACGCACTGACAGTTGTCGAAGGCCGAGTGGGAGCCGTACAAACGGCGCCACCCCCGGCATTTCCTGAGGACGACGGACAAACCCCTCCACAAAGACCGAAACGTCGACACGCAGACTTACGACGCCGATTTCGGGACGTGATATCCGTGGGTGCGGGACCTCCGCGAGTGCAACTATTGTGATTTGGTTCTTTTGGTTCAGGTGGACCATAAAAAGCTCGGTTCTCATTTTCAATCTACAGAGTGTTTTACAAACTATGTGTCTTCCACTTTATTTCCTCTTCTAGTCGTTTTTAGTCAAAAATCTGTATTTTTGTAAAGTAAAAAACTAGTTCATTTTCAACACCTTGTAAAACACTCTGTATAAATTAATTTACTCAAAATCTCTCCATCATTTACTTGCCTTTCCTGTTAAAGTTTATAACTGAGTTGATTTTGTCAGTTTTGATGAATTTTATTCATAGACTAAATAAATTGATATGTCTTTAAACTTGTCTAAATAATTCTCGTCTCCCCTTCAAAATTGTAAAAATTACCAATTTTGCAAAACTTTAGGTAATAGGAAAAATTGAGCAAAAAATGAAAAACTAAAAAATCATCGTAACAAGAATAAAAGTTTCTTATGTTTTGAGTTATATAGTTTTCAAATTTTGTTTCCTGAAATGTACAACAAACATAAAGTTCTGAAACTAAAGATTTTGAAACCATCTTAAAATAAACAAGTTTCTAGTTTCGCAAAATTTTGGGTAGTGGAAGAAATTGAGCAAATAAAAATGTTCGTAACAAGCATCAAAGCTTATTATGTTTTGAGTTAAAGTTTTAACATTTTAGTAAAATTTAAGCCTCAAATGTGCAACAAACAGAAACATCTTAAATTGACGTACTAAAACTAAAGGTTCTGAAACCATCATAAAATAAAGAAATGTACGTTGAAAAATCTTAGTTTTTTGTAAAAAAATAAAGACTCCGTCATAAAAAGGTTCTAGTTTCGCAAAATTTTAGGTAATAGGAGTAAAATTTGAGTAAAAAATGAACAAGTTAAAAAAATATTCATAGAAAAAATGAAAGCTTATATTTTGAGTTAAAGTTTTCAAATTATAGTTAAATTAAATTCTTAAATGCACAACAAACAAAAACAACTAAAGTTGATGTTCTAACACGAAAGATTCTGAAACCATTGTAAAATAAAAAAATTGAACTAAAAATTGTATTAGTTTTTATAAAAAAGCAAATACACAAAAAATTTCTAGTTACGCAAAATTTTAGATTATAGCAAAAATTAAGCAAAAAATGAATTAAAATTTAATTAAAAAATATTCGTAACAAGAATAAAAGTTTATGTTTATTCAAATTTTATAACTGAGTTGATTTCGTCAGCTTTGAAAAATTTTTTTCATAGACTAAATAAATTTATGTCTTTAAACTGCCCTAAATAATTCTCGACTGTCCTTCAAAAATTAGTAACTGCCATACATTGTAGAAATTGTGAAAACTACTAATTTTGCAAACTTTTACGTAATAGAAAAAATTGAGCAAAAAATTAAAAACTCTAAAAAATAATCGTAAGAAGAATGAATGTGTGTTATGTTTTGAGTTAAAGTTTTGCAAATTTTATATTAAATTAAATACAGAAATGTACAACAAACAGAAACTTCTAAAGTTGATGTTCGAAACTAAAGATTTTGAAACCATCTTAAAATAAAAAAGTTTCTAGTTTCGCAAAATTTTGGGTAGCAGAAGAAATTGAGCAAATAAAAATATTCGTAACAAAAATCAAGGTTTGAAACCATTATAAAATAAAGAAATTTACGTTGAAAATATTAGTTTTTTGTGAAAAAAAGGTTCTAGTTTCGCAAAATTTTAGGTAATAGGAGAATATGAGTAAAAAATGAAAGAAGAAAGAAGTTTAAAAAATTTTCGTAACAAAAATGAAAGCTTGTTATATTTTGAGTTAAATTAAATTCTTAAATGTACAACAAACAAAAACAACTATAAATTTGATGTTCTAAAACGAAAGATTCTTAAACCATTTTAAAATAAAAACATTGAACCAAAAATATTAGTCTTTTTAAAAAAACAAATACATGAAAAATTTCTGGTTTCGCAAAACTTTAGATAATAGCAGAATTTGAGCCAAAAATGAACAGATTAAAAAGATTCGTAACAAGATTAAAAGTTTTCAGTCATAGTTTTCAAATTTTAGTTAAATTAAATCCTCAAATGTACAACAAACAAAACTCCTAAAGTTGATGTTCTGAAATTAAAGATTCTGAAACGATCTTAAAACAAACAAAAAATACGTTGAACATATTAGTTTTTTGTTAAAAAATATAAACATGAAAAATTTGTGGTTTCACAAAATTAAGTTAACGTTCTGAAACTAGATTTTGAAACCATTTTAAAATAAAAAATTTAAACTGAAAATATTAGGCTTTTTTTAAAAAACAAATACATGAGGAGTTTCTAGTTCCGCAAAATTTTAGGTAAGAGAAATTGAGCAACAAAAAATATTCGTAAGTTTGTTATGTTTTCAGTTATGGTTTTCAAATTTTATAACTGAGTTGATTTTGTTAGTTTTGAAAAAATTTATTCATAGACTAAATAAATTGATATGTCTAAATTCTCGTCTCCCCTTCAAAAATTAGTAACTGCCACAATGTAAAAATTGTGGATATATCCCGCAAATAAATCATGGCACGAAATCCGTTTGTCATAAATAAGAAAAGTTACGACAATTCTCATAAAGTCGAGCGAGTGAGTAAAAACAAAACAACGTGAAGTCGCTGGGGGATTTTCTACAACAAAAACCAATAAAAGTGGAAGAGAAATGCAACGTAATTAGAAGGAAATTCGGCAACCATTTATTTAAACTCTCTAATAGGTTAACAAAGTTTGAGAAAAAGCTCTAGTTAAGATTCGGCCGCAGTCGCGAGTAACAAATCAAGAGGGATTTACACGCTTTCTTGGCCTTGACGGTACTCGAAAACGCTTCCCCGCTCGACGAAAGTCCCAAGAGAAGCGTTAGTTCTGGTGTTCCCCGAGTACTGGAATGCGTCCTGGTCGCTGCCGTAACCTCCGCCACCCGGCGTGTGCAGCTGGAAGACGTCCTGGAAATGAAAAAGTGTTAAAATCGCATTCGAGACATGAATAGTCAGTTAAGAAGTGCTTAAAACTTGCATTTTGAAGTTTCAGTAAGAAATAATTGGCTAAAACACTGCGCAACTTTTGTGTAGTACCTAGACAGTTTCACTTTAAACATTTCATTAAAAAGTTTTATCTAATCTTCTGCAATTGTTGGAAAGAAAAATATTCGGAACAAGAATGAAAGTTTGTTGTTTTGAGTTAAAGTTTTCAAATTTTAGTTAAATTAAATCCTCAAATGTACAACAAACAGAAACTTCTAGAGTTGATGCTCTAAAAGTCTAAACTAAAGATTTTGAAACCATCTTAAAATAAAAAAGTAAAAATTGTGTTTTGTTACACGAAAAGTTTCTAATTTCGCAAGAAACTGAGCAAAAAATGAACAAGTGTAAAAAATAACGCAACAAGAATGAAAGTATGTTATGTTTTGAGTTAAAATTTTCAAATTTTAGTTAAATTAAATYCTCAAATGTACAACAAACAGAAACTTCAAAAGAAATCTAAGTTGAAAATTATCGTCTATTTAAAAAAAAAGAACATGAAAAATTATCAATTTTGCAAAATTTTAGCTAATAGGAAGAATTGAGCAAAAAAATAAAAACTCTAAAAAATAATCCCAACAAGCATGAAAGTTTGTTATGTTTTGAGTTATAGTTTTCAAATTTTAGTTAAATTAAATGCTGAAATGTCCAACAAATAAAAACTTCTAAAGTTGATGTTCTGAAACTAAAGATTTTAAAACCATCTTCAAATAAAAAAGTTCTAGTTTCGCATAATTTTAGATAGTAAAAGAAATTAAGCAAATAAAAATATTCGTAACAAGAAAGCTGGTTGTTTTGAGTTAAAGTTTTCAAATTTTAGTTAAATTAAACCCTCAAATGTACAACAAACAAAAACTTCTAGAGTTGATGCTCTGAAACTAAAGATTTTAAAACCATCTTAAAATAAAAATAAATTAAAATATTAGTGTTTTGTTACAAAATAAATAAAAAGTTATATCAATGAAATAAAGTTATAATAACTGAAAAGTTTCTAATTTCGCAAGAAACTGAGCAAAAAATGAACAACTCTAAAAAATAACGCAACAAGAAAGAAAGAGTTTGTTATGTTTTATAGAGAGTTTTTTATAGAGTTATAGTTTTCAAATTTTACTTAAATTAAATCCTGAAATATACAACAAACGGAAACTTCGAATGTTGATGTTGTGAAACTAACGATTTTGAAACTATCTTAAAATAAAAAAGTTTTTAGTTTTACAAAATTTTAGGTAGTAGAAAAAAATTGAGCAAATAAACATATTCGTAACAAGAATCAAAACTTGTTATGTTTTAAGTTAAAGATTTCACATTTCAGTAAAATGTAATCCTCAAATGTACAACAAACAGAAACATCTAAAATTTATGTTCTAAAACTAAAGGTTCTGAAACCATCATAAAATAAATAAATTTACATTGAAAATATT